CAGCAGGAAGTTGTTGGCAGCTAACAATTTGATAAAAGGACTTCCACTCCCTGCCTTCTAATGCTATAGACAACTGTTAATCACTTATGTTAGTCCTCAAATGAAGTTTGAAACATCTTGGATGTGTGTTACCATCTTTTAGTGTAGCTGAGAGCTACATTATCTGCTTTGATTCATGGAAACATGAGTGACTAGTTTATATTAGGTCATGGCTGTGGAAACAGGCAATAAAGAAATGTTTTACCGTGTTGTAGCACTCTCAGTTCGACTCTGGCACACCGGACCGAACTGCCATTTTGGATGATATATAAGGTATTGAACTGACATTACTTGCAGTATAAAACCAAATTTTTCTCCAAGTTTAATGGTGGGCTATTGTAATAGACTCAGTTTGTCTGTGCGTTGGGTATAGACTGATTACACCAGTGGCTTGTGCACCTGACACTGTGGAACAGTATTTTCAAATGTTCAGCCACTAGGACCACATTTTCATAAATGCCCACAGTCCGAAGTACCTAGTGCTTTTGTAAGTCAGCTCCAGTTGTACAGTCTTTGGTAACGTGGTCTTGTGCTTTTTTTGATATTCTGTTCAGTGCAATGTAAGTGGTAAGGACCTCGAATGAGAATGTGATAGAGAAAGAAAGGTGACACAGACATGGCAATGCACAGCATCACGTAAATGCAACTCTTTTCTTTCCAGACTCATGCAAAGCCAGCACGGATAACTGTGCACCCACATCACAGTCAATTTGTGACCCAGATAACCTGCTAATGGCTGTAGTGAGTGACTGTAGCTCAATCAGAGACTATTTCTGTCTCTGTCGGGTACTACAGCATGTCAGTTCCAGTGCCCTCATCCTCAAGCTTCTCAAGAGTCCAGTGCAGGATGATTTACGAGTGTCTCAGAAAAATCAGATTTCCGTAAGAATCATGTAATTTGCAGAGTATATGGCAGAAGGAACCCTTGACTAAAGAATGGCTTGCTAAATCAGAATGTGCTTGGCTTTGGCAAGGTGGATGCCGTTATGAAGTGGCTTTCCTGCTGTCGTTTCCCTACTATCTCCCACTTTAGGGATCCAACAGGTGTTTCCTCCAAGGCGTATATATTTCCCATAATATTAGAATGAGGAGTTGTCATTTCTGACAGGTTGTGTATATAGATGATGGCTTTATTATGATAGAGATATATACATTGATTGATTGGTAAATCTGAGTCAAGTAAGAGAGCTTGTGAGAAGATAGTCTCTAACTTGCCAAGATACCATTTAATCACTGGCCTAAGGATTCATTATCTGAGGAGGAGACGTGTGGCTAATAGGTATAACTGCTTACATTTAGCACAGGGCTGCGTAGAGACACTGCAGAGATTTAAAGGGGTACATGCCTCCCCTTTCCCTCCAGTTTTGTACTAGCTTGCTAAATTCAGGAGAGCCAGTTTGAAGCCTCTCCCTGCCCCTTATCAGAGATGCAAAATTACCTTTCATTTTGCTGAAGGGTGGGTAATTCAAAGCTGATAAAAAAAAAAATGCTTCATGCAACATGCTGTTTGCCTGTGAAACTTCTTGCTGCAAATGCTGCTGAGAGCAAGAACTGTGCAAGTGGCAGAAGACAGCAACAGGGATAGGTAGTGTGGTGGCTTTGGCTATGCTTTGTGAACTTCTGGAGATCGACGAACTTCAGCTAAAGGGCCTGGATAAAGACTGGAAACCTCATGGCTTGGTACTGCCAGTCTGTAAGAGGAGCGGAGCTGTCATGAGCCATTTGGCACCTGGAGCACTCTGCTTTCTGTTTGCCCTTCCTTTCTTTTCCTCTAGGCTGCTTCCAGCCACCAGTGCCTGCTGCTCTTGCCTCCTCTTGAGCAGCAGTAGTACAGCAGCCAGTGCCTACAGATCTGTTTCTACGTCTTTGGTGCCTTTCTTGCCTGAAGGAAAGCACAGAAATAGTCCTAGGGACCAAGTCCAAACAGCGATAAACATCACAACCAATACAATAATTCAAGGAAACACTTTGCAGTATATTTTTTCTTTGTTTGTCTCACTCAGCTGACATTGATGAAGGAATTCCTCCACCACACAACCCTTTTCCCCCATACTGTCATGGTTAATATGTGACTCATACATCCTAATTTTTCCTTGCTACTATGAGACATGAAAGCTATGATGTAGATAAAGAGGGCATCTCAGCAGCAGCTGGAGATGTGATCTCATCTTGGGTAAACTGTAGCTGCCACTGCTGAGAGGTTGTTCTGTAGCTAAGAAGTTTCTCTCTCTGTTTTAGGGGTTTTGGTGGCCAAGAAGAGGAAAACAGCAGAGTCATCCGAGATTCAACAAGAGTGTTCCACTGGTGTGATGTTGTTCCACTGCAGGAGGCTCTTCTGGTAGGTGTGGGGTATTTGTTTTTGGGATCCTCACGTGTCTTCCTCCTTGTGCTCCTAGGAATAAGCTGGAGCTTCAATGCATTCATCTGGGTGGAGGGCACAGCACACTCTAGTTTACTGCTGTTTATTTAGCAATGTTATCTTAGCCAATTTCTAACTTTGATTTCATATGCAAAGGTAAGAGACCCTGCCCTGGAGGGGAGAGACTGAGGGTTTACCATTACCCCCTTTTTCAGGAGTGAGCTGCAGATAAAGTATCTTGACCAGGGTCGCATAGAGACTCTGTTGCAGTGGTGGGAGCTGAAGGCTTATTCCACAGCCATATTCCCCTGTAATTTAGGTGGTAACCTGGGAACAGAGGAAGATCTCCAAGGTAACAAGGGATCAGTAATGCCTTCCGTGTTCATCTAAAGCAGGGCAGGCACCCTATCTCAGGAGAGGATTTCAGCAGATGGACAAAGGAGGGTCTGATTGACATCTATTTTATTTTAAAAGTTTGTATGTTGTGTTTCCAGACCCCTGTGTCTGTGACGTTACTGATCTGGATATCTTTTAAGACAGTTTGGTTTATTTATTTAATGTGTCTAATCCGTAAAAGAACAAATCCCATCTAGAAATGGCAGGTTGTGCTCAGAGTTGCCAGAGAGCTGAGAGTAGGCAACCAAATCTTGCAATGAGGTGATCAAAGATTTCATCAAAAATACAGAATGTTCAAGCTGTTCTGCCAGCTGGGAGACTTGTAGCAGGCTGGAATTCATGCTGCTTGAAATGCTGCAGCTTCCCTTCAAGCAAATAAAAGGACCCTATTGCCCAGCAACCTCCAAAATAGGATTAATCATTACAAATGGGTAAATGTCCCAATAGGACTGGAAGCTCAGCTCTGTGAATTGAAGGGTAATGTTTTGAAAAGATCTTACAGGTCGGTTTACATGAGGAAAAAGCTTACAACTGCTAGTATGTCCTAACTCCCCATGTGCCACTTCTGTTTTGTATTGAGTGTTTTTGTGTAGCTAAGCTAAACTGTACAAGGGGCTTTTTATGAGGATTAAGAATGTCCACAAAGGAAGTTAGTGCTTAATAACTATTGCACTTCATGTTCATGCAGTATCTTCCTTTGCAATCACATTTCTGGGACAGGCAACCCCTCAAAGGCCTGGGAGTCCAAGATGCATTTTTAGGAGTGAGTTGGGTGCTTGACAAAGTCCCAGACTGTGCTTGGGGTTTTTAAATGCTACGTATTTAAAGTTATTTAGGTGCTTAAAGGTGCAAGGGCACTCCCTTGGGATTTGTCATAACACTTCAGGATTTCATTCTGTTTGGAAACCATGGACAGCTAGATGGTTATACTTTACAGAAGTTCCTCCTTGATGTCCATGCAAAACACAGGGTGTCTAAACACATATCAAAATATGGTCCTCTGACTTTTACATAAGGTCTACATTATTAAATAATTTAAGTGTTTTTGGGAAACTTTAACTGTCAGTCTAATATGGCATAGATGTTTGAGAATTAATGTAATTTTTTTTTTTTCCTTGACCTCAGTAATAAAGTAAAAAATGCCAGATATGGCCAGCTTCTTGGGCCCAGGTTGGAAGGAAGGCCTAAGTCCTTCCGTAGTGTCTTCAGAATGGCTCAACTATCCCTGCTGCTCATTCACTATACTGACTGCTCCTGTTGGTCTTGTAATTGCGCGTTTCCTTTGCAGATTTCAGCAGTAATAGTTTTTCCAATTGTTCCTATAAAATAAGCTATAAAATAGATTGTGTTTTTAATTGTTTAGCTTCATTCAGCAGACTAATCGTTGGACTTCAGGCATGTTACATTAAATACAGCTAAGGGTTTCATTATTCAATTTAAACTAATCTAATTAGTTAGAGACAATCATTTAATTTAGTTATGATTCTAATCTCTCATCAGGAAACTTCTCCCTGACAAAGTCCCTTGTTTATCTTTGGAAAAAAACTGCCAAGGAGTGAACAGTGCAGGGGTATACTGATCCCACAGTTCCTGGATGGTTAGTGTGGACTAACTAACCTTTGACAAGCCTGGTTGGCCGACTTGGCCATACTACCTACCAACCGTGAGGCACCAGCACCACTCTAAGCAATACCCACTCCCCAGTACATTTTCCTAGACTAATTAGCTCATTTGAGAAACATAATCAATTAGCCAGGAAAAAAACACCAGGCCAAAATTGTTACTAAGTTCCTGGCATTAAACTACTATTGTTGCCTTGCTCTACATTTTTGATGTTTTATGCCAACATACATGAATTTTTCACTGCTGTAGGATACACTTGGAATCCAAATATTAAGGGGAGATACTTCTTTTTATGTCTCATTCTACCCATAGATGTTACACAGCTAAGAAATGGTTTAAGTCTTTCTAACTGAAGAGAAAAATCTAAAATAAACCTAGTGGCTGGTTTAGCAGAATTCTGTTTTAAATTTAGAGTTGCAAGGACCAAGCAGCACCAAACCTGCAGGATCACATTTTGGTCTGCGTCTTTGGTGATGCAAACTCACCACTGATTGGGCTGCGTGACTTCGTGATGCCCTTAAGAGCTAGTAACTTCATTTACCATGAGTTGAAAGACATTGTTTTTCTCGGGTCTTTGGAATATCTGCAGAGAGAATAGAAATTTATTCAGAACTTCCCAAAGCTGTGGTTATTCTAAACCTGCAGGATCACATTTTGGTCTGCGTCTTTGGTGATGCAAACTCACCACTGATTGGGCTGCGTGACTTCGTGATGCCCTTAAGAGCTAGTAACTTCATTTACCATGAGTTGAAAGACATTGTTTTTCTCGGGTCTTTGGAATATCTGCAGAGAGAATAGAAATTTATTCAGAACTTCCCAAAGCTGTGGTTATTCTCAGTTTTTTTACATTTTTCTCTTCCTCCCTTTCTCTAGCTCTCATGCACATTTCTAAATACATTTTAAAACTTCTTGATGATAGCACAATTCAGATTCAAAAAGGACCAAAATTATCTCAGGCTCTAGACCTGAGTTTGAATCCAAGATATTGTTGAAAAACTTTCCCTTCTTAAATATTTATTTTCTTCTGGGGGAGTCTTGGTACTCTCTGGTTTCCTGCAGAAGCACTGAGAAGCTAATCCTGATTGGTCAGAGAAGACCAATCTCTGTCAAGACAGGTCTAGACTTGCAATTTATTGGACAGTTCCCCATTTCCAAAGTTGCTCAAACTTTGAAGATGTTTCCAAAACGCATTTGTGCCAGCTGAGTTTGAAACAAATTTAATGTTCACCTTTCATCCTTAAAGATCCTTAATGTTCAACTTTCTCGGATTTCTCCCTATCACTATTTCTTTGGTTTTATCAGGGTAGTGATCTCTCCCGTGCAGATCTGAGGGCAGTTAATGTCCAGGATTGTGCTGCGTGTGCCATTCTGTCTTACAACACCACTGCTTCAAGCAATCCTTCCCTGGTGGGCACGGAAAGCATCCTAGCCACTCTGAACATCCGATCCGTGCAGGCTAAGTCCAGCTCAGCCTCACTAGGTAAGCATGTTTCTTTTTGCCTGTAAGCATGCTGATGCGACAAAAATGGAGGCTAAAGGAGGGAAAAAAGAAAGGGTCACTTGTCACTAGTCTGAGCCACAGCCTGTCTCTCCCAAATATGAATATATAAGTTAAAAGGGCCAGAAGTCCATTTTAGCGTAGCTGGCTGTACAATCTAGTCCAGTTTCTGTAGCTACAGGTATGCGAAGGAAGGAGGGATAAGCCAGCATTGCTCCTGGAAATATGCCGGTTCCTCCTGCAAATTCTGAGTGAAGCTTCAAGGTTTCCAGTAAAGAGGCTGGAGGGTAAATGGTAACCAGTGTTGGTAACTGCTGTATTATTTGCAAAAGCACGTGTGAGTGGAGGCCCCTTCCATCCTTCAAAAAGAGAAAAACAATACCTTTCTCTTGAGGTTTGATAGGGTGGGTGCTCTGTTCCCAGACAAACAGAGCTTGTGACTCAAAACTGCAATGGAAGCAAAAACGACTTCAGCCTAGTAGAATATTTATTGCATCTCTTCCTCCCTTAATTTGGTGAAGGAGCTAAGATTTGTCCTCCTCTTGAGAATGTGGAGTATTAATTAGCTGAAGACGGGCTGAGAAATGGATGGCTCTCCTAAGTGTTTTCCCTATACTTTATTATCATTCTAGGCTTTTAAAACAATGGCTGTGCCAAAGAAAAGATTAGAGTGAGGCAGAGACAGGGTTTTTTTAATAATAACTAGGCAAAATAATATCATTATACAATGTATACAATCAGAACAGAAGACAAATTATTTATAAGGTATATTTGAGTAAAAGGTAATTGTGACTTGAATAGATTACTTTTATCTAATGTATTTATTGCTACGTAAATATAAAGATATATGGAACTCTATTGATTGTATGTAGAGAGGAAGTAAATAGTATGTACCTTTGTATATATAAAATTTATGTATCTCCATCTATGGTGACAGATACAGATACTGTACCTACTGCATCTTTATACCTATATATGGAAAAGAGAGACTCAGAGCAGAAAGGATATTTCATCCTATCAATCACTGTCCTACTCCCCTCCAGCGTTTTTTGTTTTATCACTCAAAATTCTAGTACATGGAGTACGGAACTCTGAACTACAATGTGTGTATGGAAAATAGGGATGTGAGCATCTGTTCATCAGAACCTTCCCCAGCTGCCTTGCAGAGTTCATACTCGCTTGTTTCTCTTTAAGGTGGTAGCTTTTGGCTTGCTTTGTCTCCTTCCAGCAGAAGACCTCAGGGACCTAACGCTGACATAGGTGTGATCAGTGGGTAAGCTGAGGCATGGCTGGTTAGGCAATTTACCAGGCGTATTGTTGTCAGAACCATCACCACCTGCATACTCAAAGTCCTTGTCTTTTTTTTAATCCATAAGCATATATTTTTCCCTCATTTCCCTTGGGAAGATGGGCACATGATGAGTTTCATCAGAAAAATATATCTTGCAGTTTTAAATCTGTTCAGCATCCTTGCTATCATGAGAGATAGGAGAAAAGTTTATTCAATTATACTGGAAAAACCATAATCAAGTACTGTAGTTACAAGGTCCCTGAGAACAGTGTCAAAAGGATTTCTGCTTGTGCAGAAAGATGCTAGTAGTCAGAACAGTTAGAGCAGAGACATGCAGGCACAAGGTTATTTGTGTATTACAGCTAACACTGTGTTTCAGCACATCGGAACCAGACCAAATACACAAAACCTTCTTTCAAGTATGAGCAGAAATCAGGATTGTTGGTCCTCTGGCAGAAACCTGGGTAAAGTATGGTCTAGGCATTAGAACAGGTGAATGGAAATCAGTGCTTCTGGGTTTCTTTTCTGGCTTTGAGAAGGGGCAGGATCAAGTAAGGGTCATGGTGTCAAAGCTTTTTCTATTTCTCTTACTCCTTTGCTGTGCCTCCCTGTCAGCTACAGCCTCCCTGTACCAATAACAATATTTATTTCCCAGGTTTGTTTAATGCCAGATAAATTTAAGCTCACAATGTAGCCATACACAAATGCAAATTAGATTTTATCACCATTTACTATAACAGCATTGTCTTACTCTAGTTGACAAAATAATGTATTTCTAAACCCACCCTGGTTTATCCATTTTAGGTATTTCACTTTGCATATTTATAAGGCACCTTTGCCTAGCTCAGATGTTAGTGAATTGTCGCTTCATAAGCTCACTACAATTCCAGTCTAATAAACCTTTGGCTACTCAGTTAAGGCTGTTCCTCAGTTTTACAGTGTTTTCTGCAGACAGAAAAGCAGTGTTCAGTTACAGGATATCATCATCAGTGAATAAAGATGTATTTGCAAAATAAAGCTAAGACACAAGTTTCGGTTCTTCAAGTCAGCCATTAAATCTGCTAGTGTGAAAACAAGCTCTCTCTCCTTATAGGTTCATTAGATGAGTTGCTAAAAAAGCCAGCCCATTTTCTTCTTTGCTGCCATAGTTATGTATAATTATAGGACCACAATCTTAGGTTAGGATTCTCATACTGGAAGCTCCTTCAGATTCAACTGCAAGATTAAGGCTATGTCTTACATTCTTTAAGGTCTTTGCCTCTGAAGGTCTCCAGACGCATTACAGATGTGTGCTCCTATAGGATAGTAAATTACTCATAGGTTGTTGCCACCAAGATTTGGATCAAGGTGCCTAGAGTGGAAATGGAATATACATGTCCCCACTCCCACTGTTTCAGTCTCTGCTCTCCTTCCCACCATTGTTACTTTATAGGAATTCATCTCTGAGAAGATAAAATCAGCTCATCTTAGCTGGTCCCAATGGACTGGATAGTCTCCAGGTGAAATAGTTCATGGGGGTCAGAAAATGAGGAAAGTTTCAGGGAAAAGAGATACACAAGCTGGGAAAGGATGGCTTTTATCAGAATTTAGTCTTTTCTTTGTGGGGAGAAGGAGTAAGAGTAGAGCCACTGGCCTTTTTAAGTTATGTTAGAGCACTGAAGGCAAATACAGCTAGACAAGAACGAACAGTACAGAGAGTTATCAAGAAATTTTCCAGACTCAGTGGCTGTCAAGTTAGCTAGGAAGCAATAAGAACAGCGAATACTAGTAATGTAGCCAGGCTATGCCCGTGCTGATCAGAACTTGGTGTTGGTTCACCTCTGCAGTAGTTAATTACAGTGTACCAGTGAAATCTGCATTTTCTACCAGTGTAGTACTACATGTACCAGTGGGTGCTTTCAGCTGCAGAGTTGCAAAATCAGCAGGTTTAGGAAAATCCTTTCTATTTGTAGGAGAAACATCTAGGAGAAGTTGTGCAGAAAAGGAAATGGGCAGCAGAAACTGCTGCATATAGTGGAGACCCAAAAAGTACGGCAGTCCTTTGGGTGACGATCTAATTTTTTGAAGGAGAAGGGTAAAGTTACATTCAAAACTTGGATCCAAGAAACCTAGCCTCAATTAATGTTAGTAGCCAGGAGAGGAAGCAGGTAGGAAAAGACAGAAGAATAGTTGGGAGAGCTTTCTAAAGCAAGATGATTATGCAACCATTACCTGATTTTAAAAAGAAAAGACAGAGGCTGACGTTTCTCATTTAGTAGTTGCTGTTGCTGATGGGACAGCAGATGACTTGGCTGGATATCCAGCTATTCTACCCATCCAAGATCTTTCTCATCCCCAGCTTTGATGCTGTAGACAAAGTTGCAGCATTTTGCATCCTAACCATAGTGGAAAATAGTTATTTGGATGGAAGGCCCTTAACAGTTCAGGTGCTTTAGAAAGTGTTGCAGCAGGCTTAGTCTCAGTTTGGAGATTGTAACAAAGCCCAAATCAACTGCATTTCCTGTGGTTTTAGATTTTGCTGTGAGCATTTCACACCCAACAAACCCAGGCCTGTTCTGCACATATTCTCTCCCATGGAGTAGAGAATTAGACAGGTCTTAGAGAATCAGACCCACACAGAGGTAAACATTACTTACACTTGCAAGAATGAGCATTTGCTAGGGTCAGTGCTGATGCCAAGGACTTCTAGTCTTTCCCATGGAAAAATTTAGGTTTTCCAGTAATGCTGTAATTATCACCCTGTCATGTCACAAAGCAAACAGGTTGGCAAACCTAGGTACCGAACTAAATAATCTGTGGCATAATCTAAACATATAATGGTAATTAAATCTGACAACTTAATAAGATACTGAAATTCAAATGTACAGTAGTAATCTACAATTAAGTAATCTTTTGTAATAGCACCCTGCCAGTTTGTAAAATTTCAGGTAGAGCGCTGTGTACTGTTTCACAGCAAAAATATTGACATAAGGAGAAGGTATCCAGGCAATGATCAGACATACATTCAAATCAACTGGTACAGTACCTGGAAGGGTACAGTAAAGGCAATGATTCATTTCAGGCATTCAGTTGCTGCCACTAGCATGCATTCAGAGAGGCCTTGCTATACTTGGGAAGGACTTTTTCTGCTGTTTTGAGGGATTGTGATGCCTGACATCTCTAATAAGGTTTTTGGCAGTCCATTGCCTAACCTCAGAGATGGTTGATTAGAGCAACGGTCCATCTAGGACCCCGTTAGGGTCTCTGGTCTCCAATGTTCACATACTCCTCCGAGCAGAAAGGATCCATTATACAGTATCTGAACTGGAAGAAGTTCCATTTCTAGCAAAATCTTTAGTGGAGTTTAGATTCCATCATTTTGACTTTGATACTATCTTGTGCAGTAAGTAGTATTATACAGTTACTCAGTTACCCAGATGCTGTGCTAGGTAGCAAAGCAAAAATTTAGACATAATGGTAAGGGAGACAAGATTGGATGTGATCAAAACACAGAAAGCAGACTTCAAATTGGGACTGATTCTACTAAATCAGCTAGCTGGTGAGAACTGGGAGGAAATAAGGACACATGCTTCTACGAACTTCTGGATTTCTCTTTTAAGTCTTTTTTGTTGCCAGGTTTTAAAAAAAAATCACGGTATATGCTTTTGCCTTCGTTCCTACAGCACATGTACAGCCTTCATGTACATGTACAGCCTTCTTGAAGAGGAAGGAAAAAACACAACCCCCTCCCTCAAAAGCCCTCTGAGTGCAAATTGGCTTAGTGGGGACTTTGCACCAAACAACACTGTAACCAGCACTGCTGCTCCACAGAGGGTAATTATATTTTAGTTATGATGTCAATAAGCAGCTCCCAGGAGAGCTTTTCTTTTTTAATCCTTTGAAGCTCTGAGTGAATAAAGTGAGCCTTGGAAAAGCAAACCAAGGCAAGAAACTTTCTAAATATAGGAAACGCTTTGGGATTTTTGCATGACAATGACATTTTTAGGCATAGGTAAGAGATTTTCTGCGTTTGTCAGTATGAACAATTGTGCCTTGGTTTCTCTCTATTTTTTTCTTTCTTTTTTTTTTTTCCTTTCTGCTTCTGCTAACTTCCCTCTCTCTTCATGTTGTTATTGACTGTTTCTACAGATGCTGTTTTCGGAGCAAGAGCATTGGGGAATCAATCACAGCCATGTTATAAAAGGATCCCCATCACTACAGAGCTGAGTAAGTTATTCTTTAGGAACAAATTTCACAGAAGCAATATGCATGCTGCATTATTTATTTACCCCAGGCCCTTTTTAGAATTCACAGGCGGAAAGCGACAAGCACTACATGTCCAAGGAACATTAAAAGGTTTGACTTAGATGTTAATTCACTGGCTTTGAAGGAGTCAGGATGGTTTATCAGGAGAATAAATATAACAAAGTGTTACAAAGGTCTGTGTGTAGCAAAACTCTGAAGCATCCATTTAAGAGAAAGATAATGTCCTTGGGTTTTTTTCTGCTGGACTGGATCTCAGGAGATCTGAGTTCTAGTCACATGGCCTGCATTCATCCCACCTATCCTAACATACTTCATTAAGGTAGATAAATCAGAAGTGTATTTGCCTGGTTTACCCTTATTTTCAGTGGAGAAAGAGGCACCACCAAAGGCAATTCTGCCCAGATGAAATCTACCTTGCCTTTGGCCCTTCCTCTCTCTGATCATTTTGAAAAGCACTGAGAGAGACTGTCTGCCCAGTTTTCATCCCACAACAAAATGGGGTGAGTCAAGGCCTAATTTTCTCTGTTCCAACCCTACCCTTTCTGAAACACTGGTGGTGGTTCCCTCCTCCTCTTCTGGATTATGGGGGTAGCTGCAGGCTTCCTCATTTGTACAAGTGGCTGTGAAAGAGCAGAGCCTGTTCCAAACAATCTGCAGTACACAGCATTGTGCAGTGACTGCTTGGGGTGCAGTACTTGCATGGGTCCGTGCACGTGCCAAGGTGGACAGAGAGTGCGGGCGTTTTACACCAGAGCCCAAACACCTTTGTCCTTATTCCACAAGGCTCAGCCTCTCTAGCCTGCATTCATAAATGAAGCAACCCATGGAGTTCTTTCATGCTACTCTTGGCTATCTTTGTCTTCATCTCCTGATGGTTACAAACTGGATCTGTTAATAGGGAACATGTGCACCGATTAACTGATTACTGGTAACATAGCAGTCAGTGTCACCCCAGAGTGGTGTGGCTGGGCTGTGAGTCCTGAAGGACAGGGATGTTTAGCTCCATTTAAAGTGCTGACACAAGAATGTACCCATCAAATTAGCATAGCATGTTGCTAGGCATCATGACTGGCCCCTGACTCACGTAGGCTTTTTTTTTTCTTTCTTTCTTTTTGACGCAATGCTTGTAAATGCTATGTGGACTCAGCACATTGCAGGGTCCTTGCTTCCCAGTCCTCACCAGGTTTGCAGCTGGAACAGGGCTAGTGAGCAGCTTTGGCTTGTAGCAGGCTCTAGCAATATTTTATTTATATGAAGCTCTGGTGTACTGCTTAGCCAAAACTTGCATCTGATGAGCTGTGTCCCAGAAGCAATTAAGCACCTCAGTGGGCTATTCAGTCCTGTGTGCTCCTTAGACTGAAACACTGAGGAGCTACTGCAAAAAAAAAAAAAAAAGGCACAAAATAAGAAGATAATTATGCCTCCTCCTGAGTAATTTTAGAACTGAGTGATATTTGGATATCTTGTGCTGTGGTTCAGGCTTTTATTTCTGCTGTGTCCAAAAGTCTCAGAAATGTTTTGAGCGCGCTACTGAGGCCCAGCTCCTCTGAGAAGATATTGTGCAGTCAAGCTAACATCTTCAGACAGGCATTGCACCCCTGTGATTTCTCTCCAGGATGTGGTGTGTCAGTGGAGGGGAAAACATCTGCAATCTGTTGACATGACTTGGAGTTTAGTCATGTCAGATCTTTGACAAAATAATGAATCGAGCCCAGTCCCTTAGCACATGGATGCCTGCCCCTGCTGTAGTCTTGAACAGCATAGAAATATGTTCAGAGTTACAGGGATGGGCTAGGAAGCAAAATAACCCCAAGAATTTAAAACCTGGAAACACAAAACAGCTAAACAAAAACAGCTGGAGCTTTCTTGTGATTGAATAAGCTTCCTGTAAGTCCCTCTGGTAGACCTTGATCTAGACAAGTGGTCACTTTTGTGCCTATCTCTAGAAACAAGCTGCGAGGGGTAGTACTCATGTGCCTTAAGTTGTAAGGGCTTTGCTCATTCCAGGCAATTTCTTATTTCACAGCACACTGAGTGTTGACTAAGGGTCATCTGTATCATTTGTTGTCTGACACAACAAAGCCAGCAATACGATACATATTGCTAGCACTGTTGCTGCTCAAAACCTGCCATAAGAGAAGCTAAGACCCTTCGTACCTTCAGTTGAAATCCTGTCACCACTGAAGTCAGTAGGAGTTTTGCAATTAATCTTGACAGGCACAGGAAGCAATGTGGTATCTCAGTAGAGCCAGAACTGCCAAGCTTGACTTGCCTCTGCCACAGTTTCTTTGTGACCAGGATGGCATGCCAGAGCCGCCTGAGTCCCAGAGGTGTGCCGTGGTCCCAAAGGTATGCTGTCCTCTAGCAGCTACTGAGCTAAGGACATGTAGTCAGGGACAGAGTTGATGGAATTAGCTGAGGGTCTGCACTTCTCTAAAGGGGGCTGGATATGAATTTTGGCTTGAGGACCGTGAGAGCTGTGTGTTGTTGTGCTCTGACATGCTGCTGCTTCTCCTTGCCCAGTGGTGAGAAACACTGAAAAATAAGAAATGCTAAACTGGCCAGATCAGGCTGATGCAAGGCCCATTAAATGGCAAGCTTTGCATGGGGTTTCTGCGGGCCCACATCCACCAAGCTGAGCACAGTTCAATGTGTTGAGCATCTTCTGAATTTGTGAGTTGGTCAGTGGGCTCAGAGGCATGTTATAAATGGTTATTCCTCAGAAACAACGGATTCTAGAAACCCTTGCCATAAGGAGACAGAGATCTGGAAGAGAAATAGCAGTGATCTGTAAAGAAGTAAGAATCCTGCAAATGTGTAAAGGAGAAAGAGAATGGTGTGGAGAAATAAAGTGGATCCCTTATTGTGGCTGCGAGACCATGCTTTTCATACCCAGACTGTATAAGCTAGTCAGTGGAGTCATAGTGATTAATGCCAGATGCAGGGCCAACTCTAAAATCCAGGGTGGGTGAAATATCTGTATTGAGAATACATGGTTGAAGGATGACACCAACACTGCAAGACAACAGGAGACATTAATAGTATTGTGATTCTGGCTAGTTTAAGTCATCTTTAAAAACGATGCACTCAAATGCTTCCTGACCCAAGGGGACATAATAGAAATCAGTCATTACTCACATGGAGTTAGTTGTGCTCACTCTCTATTTTTTAATGGAAAGATACGGGTTCTTGATCTCAATTCCTCTGTCTCCTGCTGTGCTGCTGTCATTCATCAGCATTCTTACTGGTAGTGCTAGAGTGCCACGACATACCTAGCATGTTCAGTAGAACAGCAGGGGCCTTCTGCCTGAGTGTACTTAGTTCCCTGAAAATAGGAAAGAAAGTTAAGGAGGAATCGCTTTCAGAGTAAGCAGCTATCAGCTCCAAAAGACATGTCTCTCAATATGTGCTATTAGCAGCAACTCTCTCTGTTGTTGATATACACATAGAATTATTTGGAGAAACTTTTAGAGTGTTTTCATAAGTTCCTCCTGTTCCCAGCTCCATAATATTGACAGGCTACAAAAGGTATTTAAAGCCAGCCTGATTTATTTATTTTTTGACAACATGATGTTGCAATCAGTCCCTCTAAGGGAGCTGCAGTCACTGAAGCCAAAATTGCATTTGACACCAGCTGGCCCCTTGGTGGAAGCTCCAGCACTGATGCCAAAGGCTGAGAAGATTATGGGGACTCTGAATTCTTACCTGTTCATGTAGAAAGGAGTTTTACAAGCCTGGCTGGAGGTGCATTGGTGAGCTAGGGAACAGGGAGTTTGCACTGCCACCACTTTACCATAACAGGCACGGGGATGAATGGAACATTTAACTCTTCTCATCTGTCCATCTGGCACCTAGGCAGAAATTCACTGGAAGTTTAGATGGAAAAATCTGTTGAACTCAATGGGAATCTCCCAATGGCTGTTTTCTGAAAAGGTATAAAACAAATTCCACACATGTGGGCCACTGCTGATCCGTAAGACCACATCAGATTTTAAAAGAAGTGCATATTTGATTCTCTGTAAATTCCTGGTAGTGTGTTCTTTTAAAAACACTCGCATCATGACGATTGGATACATTGCACCCAAAACAGCAAGAATGGAGGGAACGTGATGATCCCATCCTGGTGACATAATCATTTTAAGTTGCTGTCAAAACTGAGTGATACTGTCAGTGGTGACACACATATGGGTCACACTTTGGTGGAATTAAGCCAGAATTTTGGCAGCAAAACAGCAGTTCAGCTCATAAGCTGGCATTTCCAAAACTGCCTTCTCTTATTTCTGAAAGCCCCTTTCTTCCTCTTCACCCCAATTCCCCAATGCTGCAGTCAAGTTCCACATGCCTTGCTCTCAGCTCACGTCCAAGGGGATAGTGCTTGGGTGGCAGTTTTACAGAAACTGAATAAATACAAAACAAATCTCTCCAAGGGATAAGCAGTCCAAAATAAGTATGTCAAGTCCAGTTATGCTTTTCTGAGAAGGCTTGTGTTAGGGAAAGTATTATATTGCTGCTACTCACTGATATGTCAATCAGCCAGATGGTGGTTAATGACTGCTAGTGTCAAGTGTAAAAGTAACTCAAGACATAGCATGACCTGTCTTAAAGGATAAAATTTCACTCAAGTGTAAGATTCCGAGTCTGTCCAGGAATGATCAGCACTCAACTCTGCTTTAAAGTAGAGGGGCACCTTCGGTTGGATTCAGTCATTCTGTAAATACAGTGAAGACGGAGAGAAATACGATATTGCTTAGCAATTGCAGTATCAGGGAAAAGATGTGTGAACTGGAGAAGAAGGAGAAGGAAGGAGCCTTCAGCAGTCCAATATCACCTCCTTTTGCTATCACTGTGAATATCTGTTGACATTTCTAAAAACACTCAGAGCAGGAGCGCTGTTTTCTTTTAGCTTGAAAGGAGACTGGCAGAAGAATCTGAATGGCAGAATGTGGTCTGTAAAGTGCAATGTTATCCCTTGGAAGCCTGAAGCAGAACTGGCATTTGCTTCAATGTGGCTCTTGGGGTCTCAATAGGCAGAAAACAATTCAATGAGCACGATCATTATGGCTCAGGTACTCTAATGAGCCCTGAATTCCCTTCCTGATCCAGCTATGTGTTCCTAAGCTAGACAGGACCAGTTTTAAAAGCTTAGTGGCAGCACAGAGTCAGTGGGACTAGGCAACTGCTTGATGATGGGAAAATGTTTCTAGCCTTGCCTTTGTGTGCAGGTGTTCCCAGGAAATCTGATTGTCTGAAGCTGTAACCAAACAACAACTGGCGAAGAAGGTAACATCTCATGGGTACATTACAGAAGTGTTGCTGCTTTAAAGTCAGCTTCAAAACCCATTCTAAATGCAGTGTGTTATTTCCTGAGTATGCACACACACACATGCACACCTGTATAGTTTCCCTGCCTTTCAAATTCCTGCAGTGTAACTCAGCAAAGAAAGTACAGAATGAGGATGACATGCAAATCCTATTAATTCATCCAAGTATGGAAATGCAATCCTTTTGATGTCAAAAAGTACAGCAATGATATGTTAAAGAGCTCAGCACGCTTCTGTTAAATATGTAAAGTGCAGATTCCCCTGAAGCTGTATCACTCCTGGATAACCCTGGACTATAGCTTCTTGCTTTAAAAGACTGAGAATTACTCTAACAGCATTATACCCATTTGCCTGACAATATGGTCAGATGTTCTTAAGCGGATTTGAGTTCAGCATGGATTTAGTAACACCATTCCTTCTCTGCAGCTTGTTTAGTTTCTTTACTCAGGCAAATGCAGGTGACAGATTCCACCTGCATGTAAGAAATGAGCTTTTTGCGAAAGGGTGAAAAATAAGTTATTTGATGCACTGCAGGCAGAGAAAACACTTTCAGGTTTTTAAAAAAAAAAAAAAAAAAAAAAGAGACTCTAAGCCCTTTTTTGCCTCAGATCTGAATTTGAATCATGGTAACTTTTTTCCAAAAAATACTGGCTGAGATAAGGGCACAGAGAGAGGTTTTCGAAACAATATGGCAACTACAAGGACAGAGAGCTTCCTGCTGGAAACTTGGTCCCTATAGGGCTGGGCAGGGCAGTTACACTCCTCAGCCTCACCTTGCACAGTGTGCTTCTGCTCAGGTGACATCAGAGCTGCTGCCCAGTTTTCTTACACGCACACGCGTGCACACGCACACACGCGCCCCCACAGCCACTCCATTTGTGCCTTTGAAAATCTCCCATTCAGACGCAGCTTAGTGCGTTTTATTATAAGAGCAGAGGTGGGATCTTCTGACTGCTCTTTGAAGCTGAAATGGGCAAAGCAGGTGGTGATCCATAAATATTGTCAGAAAACTTTAAACATAATTAAGGACTACTTTAAGTATACAAGAAACTCCAAAGTGTCTGTCTGATTACTTTCTCTAGGTTTTCACTGGAAAACTTGGTTTTCCTTTCCAAGGCATACTCTTTTGTCTTTGACTTCTCATTGTCTCTTCCTTTCCAGACATACTACAACCATCACATCTTGGCTCTGCTGCAGACTTTGGTGACAAGTGGGACAAGCCAAGCATTGGGGGAACAGCTGTTGGAAGAGGGCAGCAGACTGCGCGGAAATCCTGACAACATGATCGACAATGCCTCCCAAGTCAGATGCAAACTAGCACTCCTGCTACTGTCCAAGAGGTTGTGAAAAGGTGTCATGGTGAGTTACATCACTGAGTGGTGCTTCATGGGCTAGGCTTTCATCCTTCCTGCTAGTACTTTTGGATTGTCATTACCCAAAGTTTAGTTTCATTCAGTTGAATCTCGCTATGTAGCTTGAGCCATATTTTGAAAAGGCAAAGACATCAGATAGCCTTATTTTATACTGGCTTCTAATCTTACGGGGGACCAGTCATTTTCTTTCCTTTCTTTCTTGCCAAATATTATGATACTAAAAGTAGTGAATAGTGATGATAGTTGGCTAAATAAGTGGTTTAGTATTGGGCTGAATGGTCCACTTCAGTTCCTTTGAGATGAGTGGTTTTGCTTCTTTTATAGCAGGAGGACTCCCTTGGAGACATTTACTGCAGCGCTTTAGGCTCGTTTGGGATACTCTGCTTTGGGCTCTACCGCCTGATGGAAGAGCCCAAACCATACAAGAATAGGCAAGTACATTTTATCTCAAATTGTACCATAAGTCAAAAGATAGTAGTCGTGACTTTGAAGTTAGGCATGTGTTGTAGGCAACCTGAATTACTTACTTTTGTCTTGGATTTAGACATTCTTATAGGTAGCTACGGTCATTTGAGGCAAACTGGTGTGTGGTCTGAACGTGGTGCTTACTGGCACTTGTATGAGATTCCCTTACGTTCACCTAAGATGTGATTTATCTTTACAAGTGAGCCTTCTGCATTAGAGAGCTGCTGGAGCATGAAGTTAGTAATGCTGCTGAGAACAGGGATTTCAGAGAGTTTGCAGGCAGAGAGAACCTTCTCATCTAACCTGTTCTACTCACTGATTCTTTCAATTTCAAGATTTCAGTGATTGCTTAAGCTTTAGATCTCCTAGAGACATATTTAGTCTTGATTTAAAGAATTTGAGCAATCAAAAAATTTATCACATCTTTCAGCTGCTGTTCCAGAGACTAATTAGCTTCATTTAAAATATATGTATCCCATTCATAGGTAAAATTAAACCCTCTGTATATTGTCTCATCATTCCAAAGAATTCTGCACATGCAATCAGTCATTGCCAAAAAACCCTACAGCTTTCTTGCTGTCCCATACACTCAGTTTGAAGGCCTCACAAAGCAACCTGAATCTCATGTGCTACTGCTTTTTCAGGTTTGTGATTGCTCGGCCTGCCAGTGATTTGAAGATGCTGTCTCGGATCTGCTGTCCTGTGTTGTTCCGTTCAACATTGCAACAACTGATGAGCTGTGATGTGGGATGGAAGTCAGTTACCAAGCAAGAAAACAGGTAGTACAGACACCATCATGCCAGAGTTATGAGAGGTTGTGAAATGCCCTGCAAATAAAAAATTATACAAGTTATTAAGACCCCCACAATAAATTGGCTGTGTTCTTATTTCTTAGGGGTGGCAGTTTGAATTTGGCTAAAGATTAACATGAGGTTATTACTGAAAACAGTATTGTTAAGCTTTAACAAGAAAAATATCAGAGGGTAAAATGCGCTCTCTGCAAGGAAAAGGGTAAAAACTTGAGTTTCTGCTGAGCACTGCACAGAACAGACCCAACTGTATACAAACACAATGACTCCATTGAGTTTAGAGATTCTCTTCTGAACTTCTCAAAGTTCAAAGACTCCAGCACACTGAAATTCAGTTTTCTTGCAGCCAGAACTGAAGATGCTGGATTGATACACATGCAAAGAAACAAAAAACCAAACAAAAGGTCCCCATGAACTTGTACCATAAATCAGGTCTTGCCTGTATGTTATAAAGTCGGTTGAGGGAAGGAAAGTGGTGGTGTTTGGGTTTTTTCCTCTCTCTCTCTCTCTCTTTCACCTAACGCTAATTAGGTTTGAAAGACTGCAGCTTGAGTCCAGATACCACATGCCGAGAAGAAAGGAACCCAAACAGCTGACGCAGAGTTCAGACTAAACTAACTGCAAGCTCCCCAGGGACATCACAAGGTAAACCCGATAGTCTCTGTCATTTACAATCATTATCAGGCAGCTGAGTCTCTGTAATTTTACTAGGGAGCCAATTAACAGATCCCTGAAGCTCAGGAATAAGGTCTTGGTCCTTTTTCTATTTTAGACAGGAAAAGGGGGAAAGTAAGTCTGTGTTTCAAACAGATACTCCGGAAGCTTTCCTGCCCAGGGGAATGGTCAGATCTGGGCTTGCACTTTTCGTCTTGAGGAATAAGATAAAGCACTGAGCTTAAGAGTCAAGCAACTGGCTTTCGTACCCAGCTCTGCAACAAGCTGGCTGTGCAACCTTGGGCGAATTATTTAACTGTATCCTAATGCTGCTTGCTGCACACAGGGAATATAATAACATACTCGTTAATTTAGATAATGAGAGCTTTGGGGAAAGGACTGTCTCTTGTGATTTGTTTGGCCTAACATAAATAGGTAGTGATTTAGGATGGGACAACTCCACTCAAACAACGTGAGTAAGAAGCAAGAGAAAAGCTTGGACCAAAACTCCAGATGGAAACATATCTGCCCTTGGGGAAGTCTGGAGTTTGGATTCAGGTCTGATGTGTTGGACTCATCTTTCCTGGAACAAACTAATCATACATTTTCAATTCAGGACAGATTGCAAGTAGGAATCAGTGAACCATGCTTAGAGCAAACAAAATACATAGGACATGCTTTCCCTTTGCCAGCCCTTTGCAGACCTGAACTTGAGCCAAAACAGTCAGCTGATCTCTTGGTAGGAGTTTTTTGGCCTAAAATCACCCACTGTATATACAAACTTAGATAAGAATTTGTGCACTGGATTCTGTTTACCCTCTGGCAGAACAAGGCTTCAATAATAGTGTCTCAGTCCATTCCCTAGCATGCATTATTTTAAACGGACAAGACAGTTAAAAGGTGGAAGGAAGAGCCTGGGCAGGCTTTGCAGTCGTTTGACTACAAAGCATACCTCATACTAAGATTCTGCAAGCTTTCTATATTGTCATCATCTGAACCTTTCTTTATTTTCAGCTGTAATTCAGTCTTAAGCCGGGGCACAGAGGGGGTACCATCCCTTTTTCTTCCTTATTGTTCTATTGCTTTTAAATAACTATACATGCCTGAACCTCTGTGTTCTGATATTAAGCAGGTCTTGTGCAATGTTAAGGCATTTTTATTAAGAAAACTGCAAGAAACAACGAAACCTGTTTACTCATAACTTCCCCGAGTGGGTGAGAAACTCAGACTATCTTGCCAGTAAACTCTTCTATCTGAAATCATCTGCTTTTCCTAGAAAATGGAGGCAAATGTTGAAAGTGCTCCTTCATGATTGAGATCTAGGACATATTAGTTCCAGCTTTAAGGCACCAAACATTGGATATACTACTGTGTTACTCCGGAACTATGCTAGTTCGTGTAAAACTGTTGCAACCCCTGGTGTGAGTATCTTTCTTCTTTCCATTAGAAAGAGAGGTTTGCAGCAAGTGCATTTTTTTAAAACGTTCCTTCTCTCCAAGGTGTCTTAGGTGCAGGACTGCCAGTGATGGCACATGCCATGCTTTCCCATCCTGCATTCACAGTATCTCTGTGATGGGGGAACATGCCCGTCTCCAGTCATACAGCTTTTCCAGTTGCTTAACGTGCAACTGCTAGAGCATGTAATTTACTGTGGTAAGGTAGAGTGGGGAGAGATGACAAGGTGGAGAAGGGACCTCTCTCACTTCGCTTATTCCACTTTTTTGTTCAGTTGCTATATGTAAGCAAGAAGTTCTGCTTCTCATGAAAGAAGGAGGAGGGAGAGAAATCCTAAGAAAGGTAAAAGCATTAATAGGTCAAGGCCTCCTTTGCATAATTCTATTATCACTAGGAAGATTCTGCAATAATCATGTTAGGCATGTGCTTTGGAGCATCAAAGTGACTTGTCTTACCTTACTTTTTGATGTTAGACAGGTTTAAATGCTTTGTACAGATGAGGCACCTCAGACAGCTGATCAAGAAAGCCTGTGCTGTTCAAGCAAAGCAAAGGCCTGTTTTCCTTTTTTTTTAATGTCAACAATGCCACATTCTTCCAGCAAGGAATAATCTCTGTTGTCACAAACTGTGAAAAGCAAAGGTGTAGGAGAGAATCTGTGTGTGGGTGCATGCAAACATGCTTTCTGAAGCTACCACCTTTGAATCTTCAGCAACAGTATCTTCTTGTGTATTGTTTGGGTCATATGTTTTTATACCTATTGTATAAATAAATCCAGCTCTTGCAATGAAAACCACAGCGCGGTACACAGAGCTGTTACAGGATTTCTGCACTGTAGTTTGCTAATCTGCACCCATTCTAAGATGTAAAGGTCACCTTAGTGTGTGGGTGGCGATTAATATCAGTAGGTTTTACTTTTTAGCAGTGTTACCGGAGTCTCTGATTGAGTTTTGAAACTTCTTGTGTCAGAAGTAGTCCCTGACCGTAGTAAGCTTAGGTGGTATATACAAAAAAGAGTTATAAGGGAAGCAGAGGAGTTGTAGTTTGCTCAAAAGCATGTATCAGATTGGTGGAAAAGATAAAAACAGAACCCAGATCTCCTGATTTCTACGCTAGCAGCTTTCCCAGTAGGCCATTTTGCATTTCTGCTCTCAGATCTCAGCTCCTGCCTAACATGACCATTCCCTTGCCAGTCTGTCTAGGGATTTAACAGCCTCTTCCAGAGGTGGCTCAAGCTGTCTTCTTGGAGCACTATCTGATGAATTATTTTTCCATTTGTCATAAGACGGTCAGCCTCTTTACAGAGGCAGACAAGTATCATCATGCTTTCAAACAGGAGAGTAAGTTCCTCGAGATTACCCAGTAGGTCAGCTGTCTTGCAGTTATGTGTCTTGTCTGTCTTGTCAGCTGGGCCACACTGTCGTTTCAGGCTGGTACATGATGAATGGAGCCAGAAACCTCTCCGAAGATGTATGCAGGGATATGTAGACTCTGCAGAGACTCAAACACGCTAAAGCAGTTATCCTAACACATGCATTCACCTGGATCTGAACACTGATAAGAACATACACACAGAGACAAACACAGGCCTCTACAAAGAGCACTTGCCCATAAGGAGATGAATATATACATCCAGGCCAGGGTTGTTTTCTCCCTCCTCCTCCTTCCTGTAGTCAGATACAATCCAGCAGAATGAGTAGAGAAGGACGTCACCACTGTGAGCTGGGCTGGTTTTTGCAGTACAGCATGCTGCAGGTGGCGACTGACACATAGTCAATGAGATCTGAGGAGAATCCAGACTCTATAAGTGTTAGATGAGGCAGGCTGGGCATTGACAAAAACAAGAGGTGGCTGCAAACACCAAGTGTCGTTATTCTCTGAGCAGGGATGGTGAGAGGCCTAGGAACTTCCCATGGAGATTAACTACTTCACAGCAGGATGAGGAGCTGTCTCCTGATGTGAAGGGACATCCTGTTGTCCGGAGAACACTTGGGAGGAAGGATGCATGACAGCAGGAGTAGCTTTTGAGAGCATACACACTGTTTCCTGCAAAGCACGTATCTTGTCTGAAAGATGATTTTACTCTGCTGAGATAAACTCCAAACACCTAATGGTTTAAATTAATGCCAGAACAGAAGGAGGTCTCTCTTAGTCATTAATTGGCAGTGGGCTTTCTACCCTCTTCCTACTGAAGGAAGGGCTCTTTGCTGCTTTCCCATCCATCTACTTCAGCTTACTCTCTTGACCTGCCACCAATGTACCATAAAGCCATAGTCTTATTCCCCACTGTCTCTCTAGTGGCCAGTTATAAAGGGACTAGAGCTGTTTAACTGCTGATTGCTTCTCTACTTGCAGCAGGAGGCCATGCAGAGTGAATTAGGTGAGCCAACTCTATTAAGCAATCTGGAAGTGCATCATTAATACTTCTGACACTTTTTGTGTAGTACACATGTGCCAACTAATAAGCATTAGTGACTGAAGTTTCTCCATTTCCCAGAAAACAGTCGAAGCTAGAGCAGTGAAAGTATAGACACAGCCCACTGGACTCCATCTCTCCACAAGTTGAGATGCTTTTCCAAACTCCTCTATCCTGCATATGGTTGGGAGTTGCATGGGGATAACGATTAGAGTTGGCTGATGTTTCTAACTTCCGCTAAAGCTTTAATGAAGAACTTGGGTTTTTTGGGGTTGGCTTTTTTTTTTGGTGACACAACAGGATTTTTGTTTCCAGCCAGAAGGAGGAGCCAGATCAGTCACTGTGACTTGGAATTTGGTTGTCTTGTAAGTTTTTCTGCTTTTTTTAAAAAAAAAAAAAAGCAACCCTGCT